ACCACGTAACGGATTGTTTTGGGTAGTTAAAGCTTAGATTAGAGAGTGTTTCTCTTCAATTTCGCTTATAAGCAAGGCTGTGGTCGACAGGTCACTTTTATTTTGTTCTTCTGTTTATTTCCTTCTTCTTACATCTCTTTATTAGTTTCTTCTCGTCTTTATTGCTAGAACCGCCATCTGTTCAACTCGAAGAAAGGAAAGTTGCAAAGGAAGGTGAAAATATCTCAGTGTACTGCAATGCGTCTGGTGTTCCACCTCCGACTGTTTCTTGGAGAAAATTGAGAATTAATGGTGACATCACCAATGGACATTCTTTGAACATCAATAATATAAGCAGGTGTCAGGGTGGAGAGTACATATGCACTGCAACTAACATTTGTGGAACTGCATCTACAACAATTGACATCGAAGTGCAGTGTAAGCGAAAGTTTTTGTCTTCAAAGCCTTACAGTACAATTAGGAGTAATGAAAAAACAATTAAATTAAAGAAAGCGAGAAAAACTAAGGTCAACAATTTGTTTTGAGAACAGAGCTATTTATTTCTACTATTTCTGCGAAATTGAGCGCAAGCAAAAGCGCTAATCTCTTTTAACTATTAATTTGCGTGCGCTCCTATGTTCAGAACTGGATGCCCAATGCAATAGTATGGAATACCCTAAACATGATCTTTTGAAGGCAAGTTTGAGCCTGGTAAGGGCTGAGTTATTACTCGAACATTTTTCAGTATATCAAAATTAAGATTTCACCTTTTTGGTTTCTAGACGGTCCATATGTAGTAGGCAGTATACGGCACGTTGTCAAAGAAGGTCATTGTGCAACTCTTTTCTGTCCAGTACTTGGAAAACCAGCACCTGACATTACCTGGTACAAAGGAAATGAAACAGATGCTATAATGAGCGCTAAAAGCACTCTTGAATTTCATTTGACTTCCATGGACGTTAATGGATGGTATACTTGCTTTGCAAAAAATTCTATGGGGAACGTAACTACCAGCGTTTTACAGGAGATTGGTAAGTTTACTTTGCCTTGCATGGTCATATTATTATGCTAACTAAAGCATTCTGGAACTTGTACAACTTTTTGGTTATCATTCGGCGTCTGCATTAGCAACATCCTCAAATAGCGCGTGGATTGAATTGCAAATGATTTAGTCACACGACTTATACATGAAATTCCTAAATACCTTTTATTTAAATTATTCCATTTTTTTTTCGTTGAAAAGCAGCCGGCCCCCACTTTTAAGAATTTAATAGATTTTGCTGTAATGAGGGTAAAATCTCCAAAATCGAACTGACCAAATTGAAAATTATCAGAAAAACTTTACATTCCACAGTTAAAGGATAGACCTTTGTGTGACACAGATCACTGCACAGCTTTTTAAAAGAGTTGGTCTCGTTTGGAGCTTTTACATACATTTCAGGATCCCTTATTTGTCTTTTGCTGAACATAAAACGTCTTATTGTTTTTTTTTAAGTCACGCTATGACTAAGGTCATACCATGAGGTCTAGATATGGAAGAAAATTCAATTACTCTATTTCGATCTTTTGGAATATAAATTTATGTATTCAATAACATGTTTTTGAGTTCGGGGCGAGTGCAATTTGTAGTCTTTAAAAATTATTAGTGATAATTTGTCACAAATTACATAAGAAAAAATAATGTGACAACTTGTAAACAATATACATAGAAAAATATGGCTGATTTCCTCTCAGTCGCGTTTATTCTCTTTTTCATGTGTATTATTACACGTACTTACATAGTACAGTCTATTTTCCACACCTGACTAACGTTTTGGATCTTACACGCTTGCAAAAGCATGGCGGCCCTCTCACAGCATTTCCTCTACTTGAATGCAAAGTTGCCTTCCAAAGTCGGGAAATGATTTAAATAAAACTTATTGACTGACTACGATAAAAATATTGAAGGTTTGTTATTTACTATCGCTGACTCGCAGACTTACAACCCATACCAAAAGCTGCCGTAAAACGGCAGACTCCCGTAATTACGTTTGAACAACTGGCATCGACTCAGTCCTCGCTCTGGAAAGAGTCCACAAACCGGTAATGACGACAGCAACTACGTAAGCAGCCAAAATACCAGTAAAAAATTGTCAACAACAACAGCAAGGAGAAAAATCAATTTCAAATAGCTTAAAATACTTATTCCTTTTGTTCATACAGAAATCAGTGGAAAGTACACCCACCACGCCATCAGCAACAACGCGTACAGGTAGATTAGCTCTCCTTCATTTGCCCTTTTTTTTTCCTCCAGATGATGCAACTATATCATATCGTTGATCTGAGAAGGTTTGAGGAGCTTTTCCTTAGGCTAGGCAAAGGTACACTTCGTAGTGAATTAGGCAGCGATCAAGAAAAGGAAAGCCAAATTTAACTCAATGCAGATCTCACTGCAGATCTCATTTGAAATAGAAGAAGCGTTTCAAAAATCTTAACTGAAGATCTGAAGCCGGAATCCTGAACACAGAAATGCAAAAGAAGTCGGGCGCTACTTTAGGTGACTTTGTACATGAAATGTGTCTCACGTCGTCGTGGCTAATGTGAGATGCATGGAACACGCAGTCCCTCGAGTGCTCTCATTGGATCATTCAGTACAGCATTTTGAATTTTGTCAGGTCATTGAGAGATGGCACAGTATAGCATAGATCAAAAAAGAAAATGACCAATTGAGGGAATGTTACGATTGTCCGTTTCCTTTTCTTTTAGTTCTCTTCCCTTCGTTTATTTTCTCTCATTCGCTTATGCTCGCTAAGGCCCATGGTATCGCGTGAGCCTTTATGATAAAGCCATCGCGGTCAAAGTGCAGTTGGCCTTCAGTCGTTCAAGAAGTAATAAGTCGTAAGTCTAGGTCGATAAGTCAATTTCGCATTTCCCGATCAAGGAGCTTCACTGTGTGGGTCAGATACGTAAGTGATTTCGTTTCTTTGTTACATAAATGTATTTCTCATCGATTTAGTACGTTGCACGTTTCTATTTTAGCTGAATTTAATTGTATCGTTTTCCCTCGTGCACGTGTAGATTAGTAGCCTGTTTCCTTGCGCCTAATATGACTACTTAAACTTGTTTCGAAGTGTCATATGCATCGCTTTTGGGCGAGTATGTTCGTAATTCGCTTTCGCGTAATCTCATCTTCGTTTGGAATATTTCACGTGCAGAACATTGTTTATGTGATATCGTGGTTCTGCCCCCAAATATCAACGAAGTAGTTTGCGTCATTATCTTTTTAATAAGTTCGCTTAGCTTTTTATTGAGTTGCATTTTACAATCGTTATTTACAGTTTACGAGTATCATTGATTCTACTTTACCGACACGAAATAAACCTTGTTGGCTCTTTCACCGTCTCCAAATTTGAATCTTTGACTCCGTAAAATACATCCCTTTTGACTCGCGACACGTCTTGTCAAACTCGATAGTCGCTACCGTAACAGAAACTGTCTCTATTTTCTCCTAGTTCCCAACAAGGGCCAGTGTCCACGTGATGACGCCATTCTAAAAGCCATAATCGGGTCACTTGTTTTCATAATCATTGTTTTAACTGTTTGTATCGTTTGGCTATATAGAAAAGGTATAGTAAGTTGTTTATTTGGTTTTTTCTGTGCGTGTTTGCGGATTAAATATCATTACGTATTCTTAAATATTAATCCTTGTATCTCATTGTTTATAGGCACCACAACAAACCAAAGGTAGGAGTATTCCCGATGCATCTAAGGTTACATTACTAACAAAAGATCTTATCATTACTTTTTTGAGAAATTTAAGTGTACGTTGTTTAATATAGTCTAAAAACTAAAAATTGACGGCAAGGTCTATCTTTCTTTACCCTTACAGAAGACTTGAACATAAAAGCAGTGTCTACGACGTAAGTTTGCAGAGAAGCAAGTCTATTTTCCTTATGAAATTGCAGCGAGCACTAAATAACTTTAACCCTACAACCTCTAACCCCAACTTCAACTTGTGTTACAATTTTAGCTTACATCTATATTTACACCTACCTTGTATGCTAGCACCCATCATTGTGCCGTTGAAACTCTAACTTTAAGTAAACCTGAACAAAGGCTAGTTGTCACATGGACTAATACTAACTAGGGAATAAAAGAGACAGTGTGGATTGTAAATGGCTTCATTACAAAGGTAATTCTGATCTTTTGTACATCAATCGAAGCTAGCCCTGTAAACACGTTCTTCAAATTTTGGTTCACCTTTCGGTTTTGGCGATTTCAAAGTTTAACTTATCCTTTGGCATTATCTGTACTTATCCCATGCTTATTGCTCAATGGTTCAACTGTGATTAAAATTCAACTGTCATTAAAATTTCATTTCTAGTCTTAAAACGCGGATGAAAGTAATCCTGGGATGGACTGTTTCGGTCGTAACGGCTGACTTTTTTCCACCTTAACAGAAGTCATCATTAGATTCAAGAGACCAAGTTTGACTGCTCTAATTACCTTTGCTAAGGTTGACGACAGGTCTATTAATAATACATTAAAAAGAGTCCTTCTTACGACAGCCCTTACCTTGACAATCAGACAACACGAACTGACAACTGTTACTCCCAAGATCAAAGAATTTTTTGTTTAACATTTTTTTGTTTTGTTAGAATGAAATGGCAATGAAAAATATCGAGCAAAGTCTCGCTAATTCAAGCACATTCAATCAGCCCGGGGCAGAATACATGGATCTGAAAGAAACAAGCGCAGACAAAATAAAATCACAAAGTGCCGATCAAGGTGCAGATTACGCGGCTCTTGATCCGTCAACACGTTCCTGGGAAGTAGAAAGGGATCACGTGGCTATAGAAAAAATAGTAGGCAAAGGTGCTTTTGGTCAGGTTGCGAAGGGAACGGTCACGGAACTTCGAGGGAGGCCTGGAACTACTATAGCAGCCAAAAAAATGCTCAAAGGTAAATTCTAATTCTTGGATCCAGAGTTTAAAGAGAGCTTGGAGTAACCTTTTTGCCTTGGTGTGTAACGTATTTCGCTACAAGGAGTTTGATTTACCTCACAATCCTGTCACTCAGTCATGACTCATCACCTCGCGGGTTTTTAAT